CGCTCTTCCAGACGGTTCAGCGTGGAGAGCACGAGGGCCAGATTCTCACGTAGCTCTGCGATCGGCTCTAGCTGTTGCTCCAGCTCCGTGACCCGTTGGAGCAGGCGCCCCACGCCCCATCTCACGCCCTCCTCAGGTGCCTCCAAGGAGTGAAACAACCTCCGTAACTTTCCCAAACGTTCACGCCTCTCTGGCAGCCCGGCCCCGCCCCCTTCCTGGGCCCCGCCTCCTTCCCCTGGCAGCACTGCCATGGAGCCACACATGCTAATGTCATCTAGAAAACGGAAGATGGCGCTGATGTCGTCCTCGCCGATGTCAGGGTTGTCGATGGAGAGTTTATCGGCAAGCATGAGGCTTCGTAAAGCGCGCCGATCTGCAGGCTCCGTTTGGGTGCCTGTGCTAACCATGCCCTCAATGCTCGGTGACCAATCGTACCATGTGTCCAAACTCATGCCACTCAGTCGCTTGAAGGTATCCCGCACCGAACTGACGATGCGAGGATCAAAACCGGGAATGTCGAAGCTTGATCCGTCGATGCTAAGTTGAACAGATCCTGGCTTTCGTAATCCAGACTTCTCTAAGACAGACCGCTCTGATCTGGGTTTCTGCAACCCGGTCGTTTCCGGCTCAGGTCTTTCGTCCGCCGTCCTGCTGTCGATGTCCAAGCTGTGGCTTTTGATTTGAAGAGCAGGGGTTTGGTGCTTTTCGTTGGAGACCGAAGGGCCGAAGTAGGTGGAAGTCTGGAGCTTGTCCAAACTCTCGTGCTTCGCCTGACGCCACTGAGTCTGAGGGTCATAGGGGTTCGAGGCATCTTCATACGATTGCGAGTCGGCCATGTGTGCATCCGGTTCAGGTGCATTCGAATGAGCGTACAAATGATCATGCGCATGTGATGCTGGGTTGTGCTGGTCGTTTGCGTATATTGCAGGGTCTGGATAAGGGTTCTTTTTGGGAGCGTAAAGCAGGTCCTCACTATCCGATCTTGGTCCATCTGGGCTTTGGCCCTGGGTCCATTGGCCGTCACCTTCCACGGATATGAGTGGAATTTTTTGGAGCCCTTCTTTAAAGGCACTCCTCTTCTGGGAGCAGGAACGAGCAACGCGGGTTCCCTGATTGGTCGCTGGCGGCTTGCCAGCCTCCTGATTGACCACGGCAATGGAAATGTCCCCAGAATGCGCGTTCTGCATGCTGTCCCGGTTGTGCATGCGTGAGTGAGGCTGAGCGACCAACGCGGAGGTGGTCTGAGCGTGTGAAGCCTCTGTGTTATGACTGAACGCTTCACAAGGGAGGTTCTCATATTTACAGTCCTCAGAGGCAGTGCCTCCTCCTGTGACGGGTAAGGCGGCCGGCCAGTCATAATGCACAAATCCCTTCCCACAGACCTGACAGGGCGTCAAAGACCGAAGGTTCTGAGTGTATGTAGGAGCCATGCGGGTGTGCATGAGGAGGTTGAACAGGGAGACGACATCGGCGGTCGCCGAGAGCCGGTTGCTGCAGGGCGGGTGAAGTCGCTCTCGGAAGAGGGTGGCAGGGAAGCAGGGGTCTCTACATGCGGTGGAATACAAGAGACTCCGTAAATCTAGAAGTGGCTGCAGGCTGAAGCGTCCACTCAGATAAACGCAAATATCCGCGTACGACACGCTCCCACGGCATGCACCTAACACTTCCAGGATCTCCAACAATGCAAGGGGGTCTTCGGGGTTTTCAGCCATTTGCACCAGATTTGAGCTTGTACTCATGCACACTACAGAAATTCAAGCCTACTGTCCTTTGCTTTTCCCTCTTCGTCAAAGGCACATGCAGCTCTGCAAAGGGGAGCACAGCTGTAAAATCAGGTCAGCCAGAGAAGGATTTCCACAACAATTACTTTTACATATAAATCCTATGCGAGTTAAAACAGTCCAAGAAAGGAAAGTGCAATAAAAACACAAAACAAGCGGTTACCTCTTGCCACTGGGATATGGTGCTGGGAACAAAGCTATTCATTGCTGACCTTATTCAAAGCCTTAATATAGCCACTGATCGGAGCATTTGAAATGAGCAGAAACCATTAGTGATGGTGTGAAATCGTCCGTCTCCGGTGATCAGGGTCCCACCTGAGAGACTCTCATAGGTAAAGCAGCGGGCAGTGGTCAGGCAGCGGTCAATCCTATGGTTAGTGCAGAAAAGCAGGTCATTTGGGGTCTCAAGGGATGCCATGAATCCCGGATCTCATCCCTCATGAGCTGATCAAAACGCCCCGCACTTGAGAAACAGCATGGATAGTTTCTGCTTCATGCGTGACAGGAGTGTTGCATCCTCTAGTTGGTGTGTTTGCACACGGAGCTGCTGTGGTAAAAGTCACGCATGACGTTAGTGACTGTTCTAATGCAGGACAGTAAACACAGAACAGACTAAATGTATTGTAAAGTACAGAGAAATGCATAGAAGAAACCTCAATTGTAATCCCTATAAATTTCTTATAAAATATTACAATAAAATTTAATACATTTTATTTAATAAAAACATATTTAAAAAAATGATAAAAATATATTTAAAATGTATCTCTTATAAGTTAATCAAAAAAAATTATTCAATGAATATAAAAATAAATAAAATTATAAGTAACAACCTGCAAAACGTACTAAGTAATGTATCCATACGTTTATTTATTTATACATTTCTCAGCATTTTATTACTTATTTATTTTAATTGATAAAAAAAAGTCAATTAATAGTTAACACAAAAATATAGCTGCATTTAATTGCTTTGATATATCTATTTATATTTTTTTAATTAAATGATGTTAAAAAACAAACCAGTGACTTACATATTAAATCATTAAATAAAATGTCAATCAAATACTGTATATTGAACAGTAATGTATTTTTATGCACAAGCCTAAAAAAAAAATTAATAAATAAAAAATACTGCATTTAAAAATATTGAGACAAGGTATAGATTTACATACTTTTAAGCATATGACATTTCGGTACCACTTTACAGTAAGTTTAATTAGTTAACATTAGTTAACTACTTTAGCTAACATGTAAGAATGAACAATACTTCTACAGCATTTATTAAGCTTAGTTAATGTTAATTTCAGCATTTACTAATGCATTATTAAAATCACAAGTTGTGTTTGTTAACATTAGTTAATGCACTGTGAATTAACATGAACAATTAACAACTGTATTTTTTTATAAACTAATATTAACGAAGATTAATAAATAATGTAATAAATGTATAAACGTTCATGTTAGTTAATCTATTGTTAACAAATGACACCTTATTGTAAAGTGTAACCGACATTTCTTGAGTAAAATCTTAAGAAATAAGATGAAAATGGAAGCCCACCTGTACCATCTGAAGATTTGTCTTGATGCACACAGACTGTGCTAATTTGCATGCAAACCAAACAGCCCCAGCATCTGCTCAGTATTGCACTGAAGCGGACGATGAGAGGTTTACAGACTGTAACACGCTTCCTCTCTCTCTGTTTTAGTATAGCCTACAGCTACATTAAAGTGATCAAACCTTTTAAAAGTGTAATGGAGCTCGTTCACTTCAGACGTCAGACAGTCTGTACTATTAAGACTCATCAGGAACTCAAAAGTTCTGTCTCTGTCTCTAATTGATGAGCATCTGAAATACATTAGTTTTAAAATGACTTCAGCACACCGTACAAGTCTATTGTAAAGTTTGTTGTTGAATTAAAAAGTTTGTTTGTTTAGTTGTCTCTGCTTCAAAATAATTCATCATAAAGACCACCAGGGGGCAACAAATCCATGTTATATCAAGTTGCATCAGGGATGGATTACTGACCGGGCCAATGGGGCCAGTGCCCATGGGCCCTTGACTACCAAGAGCCCGGGAGGGCCCTGGGCTTTAATGTTGCATGATCCAGTTTGGTACGAAAAACCCATCAACAATGAAAACCTATGTTTATTTATGCTTGAATATATGTGTCCCTTAGCCTATACATTCTGGAACTAAAGCGGTGCGAAAGGCCCTTTTGTGTAAAGGGTATAGGAATAAGTACTATTTGTCAGAATCAGAAAGAGATTTATTGCCATTGCACACACAAGGAATTTGTTTTGGTGACAGAAAAAGCTTATAGTGCAGACTCTGTGACAACAACAGTACACAGATAGTCAAATTAAAAATAAAGATATGTGAATAAGGGGGGCATAGAGAGAGCAACTGTGTCTGTTTTAGCATAGTAAAGATTTCAAATTCTGGCTAAACTCACTTGGGGGCCACAGAACGCGTTTTTCCATTCCAATGCGCTACTTTAACATT